AAATGTTTTAACAGGTGAGTATCATAATATGAATTTGTAATTTTGTATTCGTAATTTGTAGGCAGATGTGCAAAGGCTGTAAAAATCTGCATAATGTGTGCCTGGCCTAAATCACACATATAAAAACGTGTTAACAGGATTGTGCTTGGTTTTAAGTTCAGTTTCTATTTTAGTACTCACATTACCCATCCTTGCTGAAACTCACTTTTCTCATTTGTAAGAGTTATAGGAGGTGTGAATACGATAATGCATGTGGAAGTGCTTCAGGAACTGTGGTACATTAATTAATTTTACTTTTGGATCCTGCCTCTGCTCTATGGTTTTCTCTGTTCCAGCTTAGTGTTGTTTTGAGAGTGAACACTGTGCTAGGCACATGCAGAAAAAGTAGCAATTATTCTACCTTTAGATGTTTTCCTATTAACATAGTTTCCAAAATTACTCATCTGTGAGGTGTTCAATAAATATTTCTCTACTGACTAACATATGACAGGCAGATCAGTTAATTAGATGTAATACTTTCATTCATACAGTGTAGCATGTGATCTTATACATGGAAATTGTTAAAATATGCCAAAGAGTTACCAAAATGGCTTTCAGGATCTAGCTGTGACAGTCAGTTTTGGTTTATTATCTCTCCTGTTATTTACTGTGACTTGTACCTGTTTATATAATCTCGTGTATAACATCAAATCTCTTAGCAAGAATTTAACACTCTGACTTTTAATGCAGTTAAATCTCAACCCGATTAAGGATTGTTTTCTGATACAACTCTTTCTCTAAACCTCAAAACATTTAGAGAATTCCAAGGCTCTTCATTTGCCTCAGTTACCACTCATACCACTAATGCAACAGGTTGGCTGCTTTGGCATTATGGGATGCTTGTTTTTACTGTTGAGGTTTTGAGTATTACAAATGTAGTGAAACAATAGTGAAGCACAGATTGCCCAGAAAGGGCAAAGGTTCAACATCTTCCCACAAAAACAATGATTGAGTCTTTTCATTAGTTAGCTTGTAAAAAATCAGCATAAAACTAGATAATAATAGGATACCTGTTGATCTGTGAGATAAAAACATCCTTTTGAATTGCATGCTAATTTGAAAAGATAAATATTGATGCCAATGCACAGGTGATGAAGCGGGAGCCTGGGGTGTGGGGCTGACACCAGCTGGTAGGCATTGGCTAAGCCAGGACCCTGGGCTGAGTTGGATTGTGTAGGCCTTGTGACTCTATTATTAAACACAGATCCTGAGGGTGAATGACAGCATCTGTGAGATTTTTGAGTCAGTTCTGAAGTAGGTTCTCATCCAAGTTAGGCAGACATATAAAAGTAATTATAAAATGCCTATGCACTAGCCCCACCTGGAGTTGTTGCTTAGAATGAGGTAGATAGTAGCAGAAGGAGCAGTCTTTTAAGCCAGTGAGAAAAAAACTGAAATAGCTTTACAGTGGGGGAAGGGACAGAATGGGGAAGTCATTTATCCTGAGCTCTTAAGCATGCCAGGAGCAGATGCCTGATTTTACTCTATGGCACTTTGTGGCCCAGAAACTTTCCAGATTCTGTATTTTCCTATCTGGTTAAATTTAACTGTATTTACCTGTGTTTCAAAGCGTGAATACTTTATTTATTCTCTACTTCATTTTCTTCTCCAGTTCTTTCTAACAAGCTTCCCTAGATTTACTTGTTCTCGTTTCCTAGACACTATTTGTCTTCCTCCTTCTTCTCTAGTTCATTGGAAATTTCTGCTTCTTTGAGACTGGGTTAGATTCCACTTCTTCTGACTACACCACCACCATCAATCTCATTCTCTGAACTCCTGGATCATTACTTCAACCTGAAACAATTCAACAGGTATCTATAAAGGTGGTTATTTGAGTTCCTGTTTTTAGGATTCCAAAATGATGCCAAGAGATGTAAAATAAAATGTTAATTGCATTTTTTTTTTTTTTAAATTGAGGGGGTTAGAACTATGTAAGTCCCAAAAGAGACAAAGTGTTTAGCTCAAAGTTGTCAGATGTTGGACTCAGAAGTTTGGCTTAGGTTAATAAAATGTTTTGCTGTTTAATTTATGAAATTTTTCAAGATCAGCTCCCTGGAGGGAAAATAGCAAAAGGAATTCCTAATAGAGAAAAGTTGCAAACCGCTAATTATATATAGATTTGGTACTTTGTTATGTGTAATAAAGTGGTTTAGAGTATGATCTCTGAAGTCAGGCAGACCTGGGTTTGCCACTTTCTATCTGTATAACTCAGTACTTTGCATTATCTTTTGGAGTCTTGGTTTCTCACCTAGAAAGTGAGTCAAGGCAAATAATTTACTGAGCACAATGCCTGCCATATAGTAAATGTTCAGTAAATATTATGTGTTATCATTATTGTTGCTGCATCTTATTTGCTCTTTTTTGTGGTTTATGTCCTGTATTAGGCAGAATAGTTTCCTACTGCCCCAACCCCACCAAATGTTCCAGCACCTCTGATATTACCTCACATGGCAAGAGGGCTTTGAAGATGTGATTGAGTCAAGGATCTTAAATGGGGAGATTATCCTGAATTATTCAGGTAGACCCAGTGTAATCACAAAGGTTTTTCAAAGATGGAAGAGAGGCAGAAGAGCCAGAAAAGGGTATGTGACAATGGAGTCAGTGTCAGAGTTGGAGTGACGTGATGTGAGAAGGATTGAACCTGCTGCTTCTGGCTTTGAGGATGAAAGAAGGGGCCATGGGCCAGGGAATACAGGTGGCTTCTTTCAAGAAGCTGGAAAAGGTAAGGAAATGGGTTTTCACTCAGAACTGCTAGAAAGCCACCCAGTCCTACAGACACCTTGATATTAGCCCAGTGAGACTCTGTCCAGATTTCTGACCTCTAGAACTCTAAGATAATAAATTTGTGTTGTTTTAAACCACTAAGTTTGTGGTAATTTGATAAAGCATCAATACAATAAAAAATAAACACTTCACCCCAGCAGGACTCCTTTTGAAGACCAGTTCTGTATACATCATCGTATCCAGTGTAAGTATTGGATGTAAATATGGATCAGTAATTTGGAATTGACTGAGGTTTCCAGTGGTGAGGCACAGTAAGTTGTAATTTGCCTTTTTTTTTTAGTGGAGAAGAGATAACCATGAGTCAGCTCTCTTTCTGCATACATATTTCCATTGCAGCACAAGTTAAAGATACTGGGGAAATTCCCCATCTCACTACCAAGGACACACCTAACTGACAATAAATTCATCTGTAGCCCAGTCAGGGTTTTCCCCTCATTGTCCCTTCCTTCCACAATTGCAGCTAGTTTTCAAAAAGATACATAAGAATAGCTACCATGAATTTAGCACATGGTATGTGCCAGGAGTTGGGCTAAATGCTCTGCGTATGTTATCTTACTTAATCCTCCAAAATTTTCCGTGGTGGTAAAAATAAATGTTTCCTGTTTTCAAACTTCAGGTCATGATTCTCAGTGGGTTTTACAATCAGTTTTGTAGGGAGTGATCAGTAGTTATTAAACAATAAAATAGAATATGAAATATTGCATTTCAGGAAGTAAGAATAGGCATAATTTCATCAAATTTTGGTTTCAATTTTATATATATATCATATAATATCTATAAAATAAACACATGTGTGTGCACTGGGTTGTGTTACAGAAC